ATGCACTGACAAACCAATTGCTCAAGCTTCAAACCAACCGAAATATAGCCCCGTGGGCCGTATTTTTTTTTTGGGGGGGGGGGCCCTTCGGCATGGGGGGCCCAGTTCGAAGGTCGTGCCCCCCCCCCATTCAAAAATCCTGTGTGCGCGCCTGAGCAGTAAAGTCCACGTAGCGTGCTTTAACGTGCGTAATTGCACGTTTTCGGCATTACCCCAGCCAGCCATACTTTCATTTGCAGGCCCACAACTTTTAAACGTGCTGTATAAATTTCAAATAGGCAGCACACTTATGTAAAGACATGCTGAAGATTACTTGACCAAATTGGCCAGACAAACGGTAGCATAATGAGTAAGAAATGCAGCTTCAAAGGCGCATGTAGTACAAGGGAAACGTACCTTGAAAACGCTTTTGGCGCCCTCATAGCCGAAGTATTCCAAATGACGACTCGTAACAAACATGCGATAATTGTAGTCACTTAAGCTTCAGAGCATCACTGAGACGTGGCATCCATGTCGTACGGTTTTAGAAATATCTCGAATTTCGGCTTTGCCCCAACTCCGGCATTGCCCCAACTTCCCCTATGTAAGGCATAGGTATAAGTTCTATGAGAAAAAACACTTTTAAATGGCCTCCGTCCTTACAATGAAATACCAAAAGATGAAATAATGAAATAATTATTGATGATTTCGACCACAGGTCATTATCAAAATAAGCCAGACAGAACTTTTGTCCATAGGAACATAGGACAAAAGTTCTGTCTGGCTTATTTTGATAATGACCTGTGGTCGAAATCATCAATAATTATTTCATTATTTCATCTTTTGGTATTTCATTGTAAGGAGGCCATTTAAAAGTGTTTTTTTCTCATAGAACCAACAGCATTTTGATTTAAATGCCGTCGCAGCGCCAGAACACAGTAAAAATGCTATAAAATATCCTGTTTCACGTGATTTATCAATCTGCTGTACTACTTCATCCAGTTTGACCAAATCTGTCAGGTGGTGACTTGGACTGTCACGTTCTCAACGTGACTCACATGTACTTCTGCAAAAACGATTTTAGCATGATCCGACCCAGAAATGTTCATAGATCATGTTTGATTATTTTCCCTTCTCTGATTTGCATACGACGGGAATAAAGTTAAATGCTTTAAGGACAAGACGACTTTTTGAACTCATTTATAGGTAAATGACGTCACGGTGACGTCATCGGCTGTCCGAACATTGCGAAACTTCAGCTTTCAATTACGCCATGTGTTTTTAGTACAGGGACAAAATATCAAAACAATATCTCAAATATCAACGGCGTTACCCTGCAATTCATTAAAAAGGTACCATTCTCCAAAAAAGATGAACCACGCAGTTGCACGTGCTCTGGAAGTGGTGCAACATTAGAGGTGCGCACCGGTCAGATTCGGGTTCAGCGGTCATTTTTGTCCCAGAAACCACCCTTTGTTAAGCTCTACCCAATTTTGCGTTATTCGGCGCCCAATTTACTATTTTTGGTGTGTGATGTACTTACTGTCGGATTTTAATCAATGACGGCTCCCGGGGGCATTCGGGGCAAATTCCCCCCCCCCCAGCACCCGAAATTGGCAAAAATTTGCGTTTTTTTCTACAATAAAACGAAACTCAACAACTTTTATTAGGAAAAGTTTGTTTTTTACTGTATAGCAGTGCGCAGGGAATTGAAATCCAAGGAGTTTTTGGAATTTGGAGAAAGTGTTTTGGGGGGTCGACCCCCCGCGAGGTCCAAGATTGATTGCTTCTCTGGACCTGCAAGTATTTTAATTAGGTAGGTACTATAATGATGGTAAATAATAAACTACTTTAAAATAGTATTGCGAATAACTGTTATTTGCAATAAAGATTTTTCAAGATAGCAGATTAACTTTTTAGAGAGACGCTCATCTGCATGTGTTCTATCGCTTTAATTACGTTTTTTTTCTGAAAAATAGACCTATCAAAATCGAGTGAACATGACGTCACTCTTGCCTTATTTTTGGCCGAACTATGGTACCTATAGTTCGTTCTCTTTTCAAAAGTGGTTTGGCTCCCAGTTAATTATCGAAGCTCTCACGTTAGTTTTGGCAGCTTCAGCGCTTTACCAAGATTTTTTTTTACCGCTAAAATGCCTAAGTACCTACTTATTCAATTTCAAATTGTGCTCGGTAAGTGCATGGACTTTGTGTCTTCAAAAATGAGCATGCTAATATGATGACGTCACTCCTGCCAGGGCACCCATATTGTCGGTACGGTTTCATAAAGTGTCGACGAATTTTAGGAAAACTTGTTTTTTTACTGTTACCTTGGTCAGAATCGAATAAGCGGTTCCGTCCATGGTAGTTATCCAATTATCCATTAGGTATGGAATTCATCGGGAATAATTATTAATTCACATAGAAATCATTCAATGAGGAAAGTACTTGTGCGAGGAAGATTGCTAATCAGGGACGTAGCCAAGGGGGCAAGGGGGCCATGCCCCCCCCCCCCCCTGTAGGCGAAAAATAACAAAAAAAAAAACAACAAAACAGCTGCACAACACCCCCAAAAATAAAGGGCCAAATCCGAGGAGTTTTCCTTTTTTGAGGGGATCGACACTATAATAGGCCGCGACCTGTGGCCCCTCTCTGAGCAAAATCCTGGCTACATATCTGTTGCTAATAAAATGTGGAAATTTATAACCTTGACCCTTTCCTCGATAGTTAAAAAACTCTGTTAGTGCCGAAAAATTTACTTGGTTGTATGCTTTATATATTGGTTATTACGGGCAAGCGCGAACCGCAAAGCGAGTCTTTTCAATATAACGGAAAAAATCTCAGTATGAGCGGTCCGGCCCGAACCGGCCTGTGACGCTTTTGAGAGGCTTATTACGGAGCGAGCGAAACGAGCGGAGTCTTACGCAGAAAAACGGAAATTTCTGAGTATGAGCGGCCGGCCGGCCGGCCGTGGTCACGATTCTGCGACGCTTATATCTCAGCAACCAATTGACCGATTTACACGCGGTAATTTTTGTAGGGTAGCTTCATTCCTTCTACCAAGTATTGGACTATTCCCGACGCATGTGGGTGACCCCTTATGCACGTGCCACGTGCAAAACGAAGAGGTGTCACTTTTGTAATTGTTGCAATATCTCGGTAGGGGAGAGTGGGGTAATTTGGCCGGTGGTGTAAATTGGCCGCCCCCACCTGCACGAAAGCTGATAGAAGTGAATGAAATAACTTCAGTCTCTATTCATTTGTCGTCGGCAGAACTAACTCGAGAACAAATGTCAAAACTTTCCCCCTCTTAGTTTTATTCAAAATTAATAAAAGGTGAATTTCGTTAGCAAATGGTAACTTTTACTTCCGTTTAAAAATTTGTATAACATGTAGTATTTGGGCTGTAAACGAATTCCAACATAATAGCGCCATTTTTGAGGGTGTTCAGCGGTTCCAAGAGCAATTTCATCTCGTTCTGTACAGCCATGACGACTTTATAGACAAAAAATTTCAGAATGGCAATGTGGGGTTATTTGGCCGGGACTAGCGGGGCAACTTGGCCGGTGCGCTCAGAGTCACTATGCTGGGACGGCTGAGTTGTCATGGTCAATTATACCATAAATGACATAATTCATGACCAACTTTGACTACCTTGATGCCATATTTCCTATTGGACAGCTGTAAGGGCATGTGACGTCATCAAAGGTTACCTAACGCTTTTTTGCGAATAAATACTTACAGAAAAAAAGATACAGCCGCGCAAATGGTATCATTGTTTTCAGCTCGTCAAGGCGCATCGAATGATATACATGATGACCTTGAACTCACGTAACCTTGAGGTCAAGCGACCTGAGGTAACGTGACCTGAAGCCAACCTTTGACCTTGACCTCTCGAGGTCAACACATACATGTTTCGATGCGGAATGACGAGATAATTACGATGGTACTTTTAGTTTTGGCCTAGCTTAATTACTTCAAAAGATATTCGTAAAAAACTGTCATCGCATCTAGAGCCGTTATTTTGACTATTTTCGACCCCTGTGACGGCTGAGTCAACCTCCAAAATGCTTCAAATGCGTCGTAGGACACGCGTCATTGCTGGATGTGAAGCTGACTCGCCTATAACAAAAATCATGGCCTCAAACTAACACCGGCCAAATTGCCCCACACCCCCGGCCAAATAACCCTGCTAGTGGGGCAATTTGGCCGCTTTGCAGACCTTTGTAATACGTCACAATTTCAATATAGGTAGTTACTCTTATCATTTCAAGTTTACTGTCCAAGAAAGCAAAATGTATGCCACACCTGTCAGCGTTGAGAAAATGCAGAAATGTGTTGTCGATTTTTAGTTACATCGTTTTCTAAAAAAAGCGGCCAAATTACCCCACTCTCCCCTAACTACTTGGCCGATTGCGCTGAAAGTTGGCATGTAGGTAGGCACCCACTAGGCAATGCACATCCATGTGCCATAGTTGGGGTGCTGCTGCACGTGCGCACGTGCAGGAGTCGTTTCCAGATCTCGAGAACGGCTGGACCGATAGCGCTCAACTTTGGTACACGGTTAGGGACCAGTTAGTAGGGTGCCGTGCACAAGTCAGTTGGGACCCATTTTGCACGTGCGCACGTGCAGGGTGCCGCTCCCAGATCTCGAGAACGGCTGGGCTGATTGTGCTCAAATTTGGCACATCGTTAGAAACCGGTCAGTAGGGTGCCGTGCACAAGTCAGTTGAAGGTACCCCTTCGAAATTTCGCACGTGCAAGACTCACCCCCTCGCTCGCTCCGTTAGTCGCTCCAAAAGGCGCTATACTGGTTTATTATATCTCAGCAACCGTTGGGCCCATTCGCATGCGGTCTTTTTTTGTGGAGCTGGATCCCTTTTACCAAGCATCGGATAGTCATGCTGATGCAACAGACATTATCAACGGCAGCCCATTCATTGGCAGGAGCAATAAGCAACCATAGCAATACCAGTCAACACAGCGGGTTACCCAAATGTGGAATTGCATGAAACAACTGGCCAATTTCGGCTGAGTTTGTCACAGATGGAACTCGTGTATTATCCCTTCTGCACGTAACATGGTAACGTACACTTGTCCTCCCGTTTCGCTTTCGAAAGTATAAACTAAGTTAAGAAAGAGGGTGTGGCTGGAAGGAATTGAATACAACTTACAAGACCATTACAAATTCGCCAGTAAAGTGCAGGATCGATGTTTTCTGCCTCAAGATTCCTGAACCATTTCCCAATTTCCATGTGGTAAAATGTACGATTGTGTAGTTTCTACCTCCTTACAATAATTGCCTACTCATGTGTCTCTGGGTTACACTAATAACAAAAATACACTCCCGTAAACTACTTGTAGATAGCACCTGCAACACACAGTGTGCACTGTGCACCGTGCAAAAGATAGTTATACATCAGTCGACCATCACTCGCGACTCCCGAGAGAGCGTTCAAACTCGGCTCAGAACGGATACTCGGGGTGGTTCTCGTACCCGGGGAACGCGTCGCGGAAGTAGAAGCGCCGGCCGGCCTGGCCGCGCTCCAGCGAGCGAAGCGCCTCCATGTCCACCTGGTCCAGCTGGAAGTTGAAGATGCTCCTGTCCTCCTTGACGGCCATGTCGCTGGCCGCCGCGGGGATGACGGCAATGTTCTGCTGCACCAGGAAGCGGAGCAGCACCTGCGCCGGAGTCCGTTTGTGTCGGAGCGCCACCAGCCGGACCACCGGGTTGTGGAGCAGGTCCGGCGTCTTCTCCTCGCCGTCGCCGTCGTCGCTCAGTACATCATCCGTCTCACCAATCCCGTTCGGTGTCTTGTTGGTCACGCTGCTCCCGTCTGAAATCGTCCTGCTCGCGTCGTGCCCGTTTGACATATTATTGGCCATGTTGTTCTTGTTCACCATGTTATCGACTATGTCGTTTCTGTTCTGGATCTTTTCAGCCGTTCCGTTTCCCTTCTGTACCATTTCGGCCGTTTTGTCCTGCAGCCACTTGACGATACTATTGCCATTCAACATATTTTTGTCCACGCAGTTTCTATCCTGGATCACCTCAACCACTCTGGTACCGTTTTGAGCTTTCTGAACAACGCTTTTCCCGTTCTGGACTTCGGACAGTCCGTTGCCGTTCACCTCTGCCTGCCGCTGGCCGGGAGTCTCTCCCAGCGCGCCGAACGCCGTCAGCGCGATGTTGTGTTTCTGGCAGAGCCGGCGCAGCTCGCGCTGCTGGAAGTAGGCGTGACACTCGATCTGAAGGACGGCCGGCGCGATCTCGGCCGCCGCCACCACCTTGGTGAGCTGGTGGACGCTGAAGTTGCGCACGCCGATGTTATTGGTCAGACCAAGCCGAACCAGACGTTCCATGTCGCGCCACACGGCCAGCAGGTCGGTCCCCAGGTCCAGCTCCAGACGGTCGGTGTCCGTGGGTGACAGACACAGGGCCAGGTTTAGCTCTCTGTCCGCGTGGGATTCGGCTTGAAGGGACACGCTGCGTCTGCGGCCCGTAGTGATGTTGGGTTTGTACCTGGCTCCAAAAGTCATAAGGGCATCATGTTGAAGACTGATGCTTCTGTTGAGTGCGAAGCCTTTTCTCCGCCGCTGAAGCTCGTCCGCTGCTGGAGTCACGCTGCATGGTGTTTCGCCGTGGTTACCGTTCTCTCGGTGCTTCTCTACCAGACCAACCGGGTGCTCGATCAGGTACAGGTCGACGTACTCGAGGTCCAGCAGCTGCAGAGATCTGCGCAGGTAGGCCTCGGCCCGGCCGGCCTGCATGCCCGTCATGGGCAGCTTGGTCACCACGAAGATGTCGCTGCGGCTGAGTCTGCCGGACGCGATGACGGCGTTGATGGCGGCGCCCACCTCCCTCTCGTGGCCGTGTGAGAAGGCGGTGTCGATGTGCCGGTAGCCGGCCAGCAGGGCGGCCCGCACGGCGGCGCCGACGTCCCGGCGCTCTCCGCCGGCCGGGCAGCTGATCCCCAGCAGCGGCATCTTGAGGCCGCCCCGCAGCTGCACACTGTGTGTCTTCATTGTGGAACGGTACGTCTGGCAAACTGCTTCTCACTGCTCAGTGTTCCCGTCAGCCAGGCGGCCGGCTGTTGCGGTTGTTTCCGTTTGAGACGTCTTATACAATACAATTGTATAAATACAATACAATTGTATAAGACGTCTCAAATACAATACGCTGTCTTACAATACAATACAATACGCTGTCTTATACAATTCCGGGCCTTGGTTCCGGTCATCCAATGCCTCGGCTCCTGAATGCAGCCGGTGCGATGGACGCTGGCCACTGTCCCGTCGCCTCTCGATCTCCAATGACTGTCCGTGCTTTCCTTGCCGACCACCGGGCTGCTGTTTGCGCACCCCTCTCCGGCTAGGATCTGCCGCTGTGCACACTGGAGGCACCAGCCGGCGCTGGTCGGCTTCACAGAGATGCTCCCCACTCTCCCCGGAGCAGTCAGCAACGCTCAGCGGTCAGCCCGCAGCTCGCACACACCGCGGAGCGCCTGCGTGCATCCCTCCGCGCGCGGTACCCACCGTCTGACTGCAGCGGAGCTGCTTGTGCGTGCCGCTGTGCCTCCACCCGAGGTCACCTTGGCGGCTCCCCCGTCGGAGATCAGTGTGACTCCTTGTGGCTCTTTGTGTGGCTTATCGGCCCTTATTAGCTTTCTTGCGGCTGCTGACAGTATCTCGTGTCGAGGATGCTGTCTGTTGGTCGGTTTGGAATGGTTCCTAGTTTTTGTTGTTGTTGCACACCTGCCTTAATGCTTAGCTGTACACCTCTGCAAGGTGTGTTCGCCTTTGGGCATGTGTTCACTGAAAAAAGTTTTTACCATCAATTTACTAAGTTACTAGCTTTGGTAAATTTTACCATCAGCCTACCATCATATTACTACCAGCCTACTATGGTGCTGAATACTATCCTGCCTTGACATGTTGATATTACCATGGTTACATTTATCAGGGGTGGTTTTGTACCCCAGTTTACAAGGTGGTAACCACCTGAGGCTAGTAGATACCCTCGTAAGCTAATATTCCCTACCATAGTAAAATCAACCTTTCCACGGGCGGATCCAGCAGGTGAATTCGGCGATCAAGTCTCCTCCTTTCCATAGAGGTGTTTGCCAATTTTTGATATGTTGGAAGGAGCGTCATCCAAGGACTAGCTGAGACCCTGAGCAATTAATAGTTTTATGGACGAAAGGCCAGAAATTTCTTGCAACAGTTCCCTGGGTGTGCTTCTGCTGCTATGGTAAGGTATACCATGGCAACACCATGACAACACTACACCCTTACTAACAATCCACGTGCCTGCTGCAGCGGCGCCGCCATGTCAGTTCCGGCCGCGCGCCGGCGTTGTGAAGGTGCTCCGTGGTTTTAAATATTTGAACGGTGATTGTGTGGGTGGTTAGCGTAGCTGACGGTGGAGGATACTCGGAAATAACAAGTAAGTCGTTGTATCTTCAGCATAATAATACTTATCTCACGAGTGCCATTTCCAGCAAAGATCGCAGCCTTTGTTTCGGTTCATGTTGTTGAATTTCCTTGAGACCCTGTTGGACCGGGTAGGGGGAGGGTGGTGGGGTGGGTATCATTGCGGGCATTTCCCAGCGTCGGAAATCAACGTGTTTTTTTATTTGTTAACCCACGCCTCACTGGGGTATGTGCTCTAACGCGCCCCACAGCACGTTACAGCACGTTACAGTGGGGGGGGGGGGGCTCCTAACTCCGAAACTACTGGGCCGATTGTCAAAATTCAAACGGCCCCTGATAGCCCTGGAAATATTGTTGAGCGAAGCCTAATGTCATTGACCTCGAGGTCATCGATGACGTCACAGGTCAGGTCAAAGTAAAAATATCAGCGTCTTGGCACTCTGGGCGCCGGCCAACAAATCAGATCAGGCTCATTTTTTGTTTGCACACTCGTGAATATATGCGTAACATAACCTGAGGGTACCGAACTTGTACTTCGAATTTTTCAGGTCAAGGCCATCTCATCCCAGGTCACGAAAGCTTTATATCGTGCATCGGTGACGTGAGACATGTTTTATGGTTCATGTAGGCCATATATATCGAAATCAGTGTTGTATGTGTCAGTTTAGGCCATTTTAGCTGAATATAGCTGAGGTCAGGTCAGGTCACTTTAGGTCAAAAATGGTCAAATTTTGAAGTTGACATTTTTCAACAAAAAAGGTGTTTGTCAGATGAGGTTCACATATATTCAACGCATATGTGTTCAAACACATATAGACCCCGTTTCCATGGGCATCACTGATCCGGATCAGCAAACTTAAATCGTATTATATTTCTCGAACTCTTCGTTACATGATATAATTCCAAGTGGATTAGGCTTATATAATCAGTTAATCCCTTATTTTCATTTTCATATATTGTCTAACTATACTGGATTAGCTAATCCATTTTTACTGATCCGGATCAGTGATGCCCATGGAAACGTGGTCATATTCTGCTTTTTTCATTCAGAAACGTATATGTAAAAAAATAAAAAATACAATTTCTGAGTTTTTATATTTATAATTTTCAAAATATTCAACATTTCGAAAGTCCGAAATCAGTTTGGTAGCCCTGTAGAGTCCACCCATGCAAAAAAAAGGATCTAGCTTAACCCTCAAGGCGGTGGGGGGGGGGGGGGCATTTTTTGCATCCATCTTTAGTTTTTTTTTCGATATATCTCCAGAACCGCTGCGCCGATCTTCACCAAACTTTCAGTACCCTTTTGCACATTGTGACCAAATTTTTTTTCCAAAGGCTATGATAAGTTGGCCGCTACGTCGGAGTGACGTCATTTCTGCCATTGTCGACCAAAAAAAAAGCTTCGCGGGAAGAGCTGTCAGGTCTATAAATTTGATTATGCATAAAAATGTTCAAGACATGAAATGTGTAGAATTACCAGGGCTACTATACTGTTCTCTCGATTTTGTTTTTGAAGTTGACCCCAAAAATAAAAAGAAATAGATATAATAGCCAAAAAATCCCAAAAGTTTTTCGATTTTCGAAACAAACGGAATATATGTAATAGCCACTATGGACTTCTATTCACATTCCAAGTATTAGATCGATAACTCCTTTTTGCCAAGTTATAACAAAAAAAACTGTTCAAAATTAATGACGTCAAATTTTCAAACTCGATTTTGGCAATTCTAGACCACAAAGCGCAAAACAAAGACCACCATTAGACTCGCCGTGACGAGTGGCATCGAATCAATACCAATTTTATGCGAAACTATCAACTTTGACCTGAAATTTGACCTTTTTGACCTGACATTGACCTGACCTCCACCAGAAAGTGACCAAAAAAACCGTCCCTGATGGTCTTATAACCAACACCATTGAGGCGAATATGAAAAATTGGCCATAAAACATGCATCGCACAACCCTACTTAGTAAAGATAGGTTCATGTGCTGACCCTTGGTGATCGGACCTGGTATTATCAGTGACCTCCAATAGCAACATATGCTCGTATAATAGGCAACTCACGCCCTATCGCTGATTTTTGACAAAATGCCCTTTACTCGATGTTGCAGCGCATTCCTTAAAAGACCCGTGAACGGTGAAACATTTTATCTTTGACTTGGCCTGTGATGTCATCGGTGACCCCGAGGTCAATGAAATTGAAGTTCCCTCGACAAATTTAACAAGGCTATCGAACGCCATTTAAATTTTACCGATCCGTCATAGTAGCTTCGGAGATTCGGGGGGGGGGGTCAAAAATCCCCCCCCCCTCCCACCGCGCGGAAGGTAGCCGGGAGGCCCACCGCTTGCCGGGTTAAAACTCAGATCTTGAGAGCGATTACCGTTGTTCAATGCTTTGCATCAAAATCGGCCGAACATGATGTCACTCTGGCGTCATTTCCGGCCGATCTATAGTAGCTACGAAAATTTTATTAGTGCACAAGGTGTCAAATAAATTGATGCAGCCGAAGGTCCTAAAAGCTTTGTTTTGATACGTCCAGCGGTTTTAAAGATATTGCGTAAACACGAGAGGGGCTATGAATAGCCCTCCCCACAGTAGGGTGGGGGTTAACCCTCGCCCGTATTGGTGTTTTTCAGCCACGAACGTTTAAGGGGGGGTCCGTTGAACCCCCTCCTTGCCGTTTCGCCCCTGATTGAGCTAGAGCTTCGCGGAAAAAACGAGCGTGCTGCCCGTGACGAGAGAAAGCCGATGGTACCCAATTTTATCCTAGGTCGTCGGTCCTAGGTCATCGGTTGACCTTCCAGGTCAGGTCAATGACCCAAAAGTGGGGAAAACTGGGACCTGTTAGAACGTCGTAAAACGTGGCTGCTATTGGGTTTTTTAGGGAACTGATCACGAATATCATGTTAGCTATGATCATAGATGATGTCTTCATGCATTTAGGCCAGGTCGGGTCAGGTCAGGTCAGGTCAACCAGTAAGGGTTTTGCCGGGTATTCGTAGTAGGTGCACTAGGTGGCAACCGCCTCTGACAGCTTCGTAACATGTTACGAAGGCACCAAAACTACTTCGTAAATGTTCATATATGGTTGTTTATAAATTCGAAATCAGCTAAAAAAAACTAGCCTAGAAAGATGCTGATAAAACTCGAAAAAGTAAACCGAGGTCATCAAAGGTCAATGAACTGACCTGACCTTCTGGTGACCTTGACATCCACCCTAATGCATGGGAGCAGCATCATATCCCATGTTTGAACGCTTGAAACCACGAAAGGACTGCAAACGCGCGGCAAATGCGAGCCGACATACGCCGAATCGCGATTCCGGCCAAACATGGTCTCGAAAAGTAGGTCACAGGTCAAAGGTCATTAGTCAGGGCCATTACATTTTTTAGGGTAGGTGTAAAATTGATTATAACTCGAGGGTACTGAAAGCTTCGTTGCGGTCGGCCGCTTTTTACGCGAGGTATTCGCGAAAAACCGAGGGGGAGTCCGTTCGACCCCCCCCCCCTATACGGGGGAGGGTTAACAAGCCAAAACGTTGCTAATTTTTATTTTGATCTGACCTGTGACGTCAACGGTGATCTCGAGGTCAATAAAATTAGGTTTTGCTCGACAGTTTTTCCAGGGCTATCAGACGCCGTTTCAGTTTTGACAATCGGCCCAGTAGTTTCGGAGTTGGAGCGGGGGGGGGGGGTTCTATAAATAGCCCCCGCCTCCCCCAGTGGAGTGCGTTACAGAACATACCCCAATGGGGCGCTGGTTAAGAGTAGAATTTTTGAATTATTGCCAACACTCAACACTGCACCTCATGGCAATTAATTCATTATAGGGCATTTTACCTGAACCAGCCTCTGGCCTAATGTCCCAAATTTGCTAAATTCCTCACCCTACAAATCCCCTGTTCTATTAGATGCTGCCATTTTTTTAAAACAACTTATCTTAAATCCTTGTTTCATCAAACTGGGAGCTAGGTCACGGGACACTGCGAGTCAAGGTGGGAGGGGTAGGAGATAGAGTGTCACTGCAGCACACACAATCAATCTTTCCATTGGTTTATCTTATATCAATGCCTGCTCTTTTCCAGAGCTGGCTTTCGAAGTTCG